GGGGGACTGCAGGCAGGTGGAGGGGCTGGCAGTGGACGCTGCCTCCCCCTGCTCAGGGCGCTTCACCTTTTACTAAAACAAACACGACACATCATCACCACCCCCCGCCCTTCACGGCATCCCCGGGGCGAAGGTTTCCCATGGCAGAGGGACGCAGGCTCTGCTGGGGCCACCAGCCCGCGAGGGGCTCTCGRCATCATGGCACGGAAGTGCTCTCCGCTTCCTTTCTTTTTTTTTCCCCAAAGCAACACAACCGTGGCCCCACCACAGGCCAGCGTTCCCTGACCCCCCCGCCCCGGGCGCTGCAGGGGACCACCCCCGCTCCYGGGCTGGGTCTGCGGCAGGGCTGAGACACAGACTGTCCCCGGCCCCACGTCAGCCCCTAGTCCCCTCCCAGCACAGCAAGAGCCAGCACCCAGAGCCCTGCGGGAGTCACGAGGTACCCGCAGTCAACACGGGGTGTGCCTGCGCCCCGGCCCCACAGGACAATCCCCCTTTCTCGACCCAGTGGCAAGAGAGGAGGGTGGCCCTGGGGACAGGCTGTGCCCGGGGCAGGCTGCGGTGCCAAGGTGGGAGAAGGCATCCTTGACACGAGGGACGTTTCCTGGGATCAGCAGCAGCTCCTGCGCTGGGGCCGGACAGTGTTCCTCCAACCGGCGCTAAGCACAGCCCACGTGGGAAGTGGGGGGATAGGTCTGGAGGGAGGGATCCGTGCCCAGTCCMTGAGGCTCTGGCACATCCCTCCACTTGTGCTGGATGCACCGACCAACCAAGGAGCAGCACCTCACTCTCACGCCCCGAGGGGCGGCTGGGCACAAAGCATGGGCTCGGAGGTGGGGAGCAGCAGTGCMGGTTGTCCACGGACAGAGCCAGTTCCCAGCACGTGCAGAGGAGCAGCACCACCTGTTTCCAGGTGATCAGGTTTAATAGGGCTGGGCAGGTGAACCTGACAACACCCCAAGGCCAGGCTCAGCTGACAGAGTGGGCAGAAAGCCCCTTTGGCCAAGAATAAGTACAAAAATGGGGATATAAAACACAAAGGTCCAGGACAGGATGGTGGCAGCTATTCCAACCCCTCACCATGCTCCCAGACCTGCCTCAATTGAGAGCTCTTGACCAGCCTCTTACCCTCAACTCAGCCAAAGCACCTGGCCCTTCATGGACCCCAAGGATAGGATGGAGGGCACCAGCCCAACCTAGCCCTGGACACTRCCAAGGTAGCGATGCAGTCAGAACAGAAAGGGCAGCCCTGGGTTTTATTGCAAGGAAAGAGGTAGAAAGAACTGGACAGAACCGGGAGCTGCTCCTGATTCCTCCCTTGGCTCCAGCGTGAGCCCCCAGGCTCCAGGCACAGAGCTACCGCGCTCTGTGGTGCTGGGGCTGCACCTTCTCCCCAGGCACAGCCCTTGTCCTGGGCACAGCCTTCCCCCGTGGCACAGCCTTCCTCCTGGGCATGGTCTCGCCCCTGGGGCTAGCCCCGCTGCTGGGGGCCGTGTCAGGGACGTCCTCKGCCGAGATGGGCTGGATGATGTGGCCGGCCCGGGTGACAACGCGAGGGGCTGTCAGCTTCTGGAAGGCACGCTGAGTGTTCCACGTGGGGCCCAGGGGCATCCGCATGCTCTGCTCGAACTGCTGGTGCCGCTCGAAGGGGAAGGGCAGCTCGCTAACCTGCGGGGACAGCACCGAGGTAATGGTGCTGAGCCACCCAGCCCAGCTCTTCCAGCCCATGCCACCCCCAATTCCCAAAGCTTCCCACTTGTCCAGGACCCATTCACAGTCTGCTTCCCTTTCCACTGCCACCAGAGCTCAGGACAACTGGCACAGCCATCACCACCATGGGAGCAGCTCTGTCCTTCATTACCGAGCTGTTGAAGCTGGAAGCTAAGCACYGGCCAGGGATTACAGGCACGGATTGAGGATGTTTTGGAAAGGGATCACAGGAATGCCCCAGGCCCACCCAGGTGCTGGAGCTCCCATGGAGACCAGGTGTGCCTCACCTGATGTGCTGCCGCGTGGATGTTGCGCTTCTCGCTTATGATGACGTGGGCCAGGTTCTGGTCCTTCCGTGGAGGCGCCGGCGGTGGCTTGATCAGGAACCTGTGGGCAACTGAGGGGTCAGGGCCGGCATGGGGCTGGCTGGGCACATCCCTGAGCTCCACTCACCTCTTGACCTTCCTGGCGCTGGGTTTCAGCCCCGTGCCGCCCCACTCGCCCCAGCCTGGCAGCACCAGGTTCACTGGCTGTGGCTTTGTTGCCTCCTCGGCCTTGCGCTTCTCCTGGCGGAAGTCAGCGACCACATCGTCCCCAGCGAAGGCCTCCGTGATCATCCCGTGCTGCTCGATGCCACCCTCCTGTGGAAGGACAAGGCAGAGTGGGTTTAAGGGTTATTGGGGGATTTGGGAGAGACTGGGACAAACTGGAAGGTACTGGGAGAGGGCTTGTGAGTACTGGGGAGAGTGGGAAGGGGGTAAAAGTTACTGGGCATTATTGTAAGGGGGTTTAGGCATACTGGCAGTTACTAGTTTGGGGCTTCTAGTTACTGCAAGAAGGTTTAGAGTTATTGGTTTGGAATTCCTGGAAGTTACTGAAAGTAAGTTTGGGGTTACTGGAATGGAGTTTARGGTTACCAGGAGAGGGTTTGGCCATTACTGGTTGGATGTTTTGGGTACTGGGGAGCACAGGGGAGGCTCATCCTGCTCACCTCCTCCTCCAGAACCATAGGCAGGCTGGGGCAGTCCATCTCCTGGGGCTTCCCATCCACAACAGCCTCCAAGCTGATTATCTTCCTCTTGGCTGGTGTTTTCTTGGTATGTCTGTCCTCAACCTTGCCTTCCTCCAGCCGCTGCACTTGCTTCTCAGCTCTCGGAGATCCCAGCTTCTCCTGTTCTTCCTCAAGCTCCYCCTTGGCCAGCCTCTCCAGATCCTCCATGGTCTGCACACGGCACAGCTGCTCAGAGAGCAGGAGCTGCTCCTGGGCTAGAGGGGGTGGCCCCACGCTCACCAGATCCTTGGCAGAGACTGGGGGGAGTGGGCTGTCCCTGGGCTGCTCAGCACCAGCCTCAGTCTCATCAGCACCTACATGTTGAGGGTAGAAATGGTCACTCCACAAGGCAGGAGACCCAGATCCCCCTTCCTTTGTCCAGCCCCAGCATTCCCAGCCCACCAAGCCTGAGGCCTCGAGCTCCTCACCGTGCTCCTCGTCATGCCCCTCAGGGCTCCCTGTCTGCTCCTGMCGTGCCTGCCGCTTCTGCTCAAAGTCTTGTAGCAGAGCTTCTTCCTCTGACAGCTCTTCCTCCTCCTCCACCTCGTCCTTGCTTTCCACAGCACCAGGCACCGCACCATCTCTGGGACCCTCCTGTGCTTCAGGCTCTGRGGCCAGGCCACTGGGCTTGCCCAGCATCCAGGGATTAGCCCTRCTGGCCCCCGTGGGCACGGGCAGGGCCGTGGTATCCTCCTCGGGCACCTCACACAGCTCCTCCTCAGGCGGCTGCACCCGCACCTTCTGCATCAGCTCCTTGTTCCTGGCCAGCTGCTCCTGCATGGCCTTGCGGGCCTGGGGGACACCGAGAAGCTCCAACACAGGGCAGAGACAACATTCCCACCCTCCCTGCCCACTTCAGCCTCTCCCCCTTCCCCAGGCAGTGCTGAGGACCTCGCCATGGTATTTCAATGTATAAATGCACTTTTAAGAGATGGAGACTTTATATCATGGCCTGGAAGGATAGGACAAGGGGGAATAGCTCCACACTGACAGAAGGCAGGGATAGATGGGATATAGGAAATTCTTCCTGGTGAGAGTGGGGAGGCCCTGGCACTGGCTGCCCAGAGAAGCTGCACCTGCCCCATCCCTGGAAGTGTCCAAGGCCAGGTTGGAAAGGGCTTGGAACAACCTGACCTAGTGGAAGGTGTCCCTACCCATGGCAGGGGGTGGAACTGGRTAAGCTTTAAGGTCTCTTCCCACCAAGCCCTTGCGTGGCTCCGTGATCTCACCTCCAGGTCATACTTAGCCATAATGGCCCTGGATCGGGCCCACTTTCCCTTGTTCTGGTGCTTAAGGCTCATCCGCTCCTGGGGGAACAGCGAAGAATCACACACAGCTCCCCAATGAGCAGGGCCATCCCGATGATGCGGAAAAGGTGTCAAAGCAGCACCTGCATCCTGAGCTGCTCCAGCTCCTCCAGCCGTGCCAAGGCAGCCGCAGGGTCCGACTTGTGCAGCTGCTCAAACTCCTTCAGGGCCTGGCGCCTCCGGCTCTTCTTCAGCACGCGGTGGTACCTGTGGCACAGGAGAGGCTCAGGGGCGAGGCAGGGCAGGGCAGCCCTCCCACCAAGCCCAGCCCAGGCACAGCCTCACTTCTTGCTCTTGATCCGCTTTGCTCGCCGAGCCTTGGCCTCGTAGTAGGACTGCAGTGCCCGGGCCTTTTGCAGCTCTGCCCGCCGGCGCTGGGCCTGCCGGGAGCACAGGGTGAGCAGTGGGAGCACAGGGTGAAGGATGGGGAGCATGGGGTGAGGGATGGGGAGCAAGGGGTAAGGGATGGGGAGCAAGGGGTGAGGGATGGGGAGCACAGGATGAGCACTGGGAGTTTGGGTGAGTACTGGGAGCTTGGAGTGAGGGATAGGTAGCACAGATTGAGGGCTGGGGCCAAAGAAAAAGCCCCAGAGCCAGGGCCCAGYATAGTGAAGCCTCACCTCCTCCAAGCTCATGGCCTGCAGTGARGCCATCTCCTCCGGTGTCAGCAGCAGGTCTGTGACGGGCTGCTGTGTCTTGTGGAGCAATCCAAAGATCTCCTGCTCCAGTGGAGTTCGGGCCTGTTGGGACAGAAGACACAGAAGAAGATGAGGAGAACTGCAAGGGCCAATGCTCCTCTGGATGTCCCACCCATTCTCACTACCCCCACATAGGTCTGTGGGAGACCCACAAAAGGGTCGCCTCCTTAGAGGACTGGGTGGTCACAGCTCTGCTCACGTGTCCCACGCTACAGCCCTTGGGCACCCTCCCAGCCACATGGCCAGGTGAAAGCAGCTGAATTCCTCCCACATTAGAGAAATGGCATCCTGGTTGCCAGGCAGCATGACCAKGGGCACTAGACAAAGTGCATGGAGCAGGAGTTTGAGCCGGTGAACCTGGTGCTGYCAGGCTGGGRYGAGTGGGGYGGCACGGGGCTGAAACCCATGTCCCTCCAAAACAGAAAGGGACYTCTGGGCAGATCAATGTAACAGGTTTGTTGGAAGTTCAGCAGGGGCTGCCCCTCCCTCACCTGGGCATCTGACAGCTCCCAAGGATGGCAGTGACTCTTCCTGCCAGCAGCACAACYCCACAGGAACTTGCATTCAAAACCAAACACATCCTTCTTTTGTAAGGAATGTTTCCAGGCATGCAGGATTTGGCAAACCAATCCCCTCTGCCTCAGCACCTGTGGTCAGGGGACATTCCCAGGTGCCCRGCCCAGCTCAGGGATGGAAACACTGTGGGCTCAGCCTGTGTGCCTGGGGCTGAGAGGCTACAATGAGTAGAGGGGACACAGCAGGCTCCAAGTCCTCTGGTCACACCTTACCTGGCTTGTTCCAGATGGAATTTACATACCTACTATGTGTGTTTAACCTTCTCAAGCTCAATGGGCACCTGCCCCATGTGTCAGCCACAGGCTGTGCCTTCACCTCATCACTGCTCCCAGCACAGCCAGGAGACAGAGACCTGCCTGCCGCAGATCGTGCACACATCCTGGCCAAACCCCCAGAGATGCCCTGGCCGTGTGACCCCCAGTGCCCACCTTCCACGCCGAGGTCACTCTCTCCAGAGGGGTGACGGTGGCAATGTCCTGCTGCAGTGGGAACACCAGCTGCTCCGCACGCCGGTTCTGCAGGACCACCTGCTGCCACTTCCCCACATCCTTCGAGGTGGTGACATAGGCAGCCTCCCTCACCACCTGGAGGGGAAGAGGACAGGCAGAGAAACGTGACGCCARTGTCAGAGAGGGGCACAGGGGTACCAGGGGCTCAGCTCAGACCCCCTTTGCTCCCTGCACTCACCCTCTTGGCCTCCTCTTTGCTCAGTGGCAGCTCCACCGCTGCCTTCTGCTTCACTCTGGTGAGCTCCTTYCTCACGCTGCCCAGTGTGGATTTGGGATGGATGGGCTGCAGCAGCTCTGACAGAATGAGCTTTTCCCCAGCACCTATGCACAGGTGTGGCAGTGCCAGGTGAGGGATTGGTCCCAACCCCCACAGCAGCTCTGCGTGGGCAGACACGTACCAGCCCCGAACCCTGCCCAACCCCCGTGGCCCACCTTTGCAGGTGACGTTGAACTCAGACACCTGCCCGCTTGCCTCCGAGCGCTCTGCCAGCTTCTGCCTGCCAGAGAGGAACAGCAAATAACCCCAAAGCTTCCTCGTGTCCCCCGGGTGCTTTGGAGGGTTTGGGGCCGGTGCTCGAGGGCCGGGGCCGAGAACTGCTCCACCTGCCCCTCTTCCTGTGCAGACTCTCACGGCGCGGCTGCTGCAGGAGCCCCGGCGACAAAATGTGGGACTCATATGCCCCCCACTCACCGTTTCCGTCCGGACAAGGCGCTGATCGCCTCCAGGAGCCGCCGGTGCCGCCGCTCGCCATCCTCCTGCCCCTGCCACACGGAACACGCGGTCACGGGTCCGGCCCAGCAGAGGCGGCCACGGGGCTGGCCCCAGCGCCCGCTCCTATGTGCTTCTCCGTGTCCCCCGGCACCGCCCAGCCAAGTCTCGGGCTCGGCATCCGCGGCCAGGCCACGCCGTCCTCCGCTGCGCCCACCCCGGCCAGRGGACCGTCCGGAGCCCCGCAAACTGCGGTGGAGGCCGCCTGGGGAGCCCGTCGCGGTTTTTGTGGCCTCACCSCTTCCTCGCTGTCGCTCCCGCTCTCGGCCCCCGCCGCTGCCGGGTCCTCCTCCGCCATGGCTCCGCACGCCGGTACTGCCGGAAACCACGGCCGAGTGTCGCGCCGGGCCCTCGCGCCGTGCCGCCAATCGCGCCCGCGTGACGTCAGCGTTGCCATGGCAGTGAGTTTGGCGGGCGGGGCGGGGCGGGGCGGGGCTGGCGGAGGGGGCCGTGGCGGATGCGGGAGGACCCGCAGGGACCGGAACAAGGAAAGCTCCGTCCCGGCCTTGGACGGGACCCCCGGGGCTCCGGGCCAGCTCTGGCCTTCCCGGGACGCCTCCGATTCGGCGGGCAGCGGGAGCCGGCGGWGCCCATCGCAGGCCCAGAGGAGCTCTGAAGGTCTCCCCTCCATTCGTGACCCTCGTGTGTCCCCCAGCCCCGGTGATTCCAGGATTCGCCGTTTTCCCCCGGGACGTGCCAGTTCCGCGGGCTCGGGGACGAAACTCCCTCACCTATAGCTCCTCCTGCCCGGCCGGTCCCCGCTCCTGGGAGCATTTTTGGGTTTATGGGATTCGAGGGATCCTTGGAGGAAAAGCACGGAGTTCTCAGCTACTAAGAGTTGTCAGTGTCTGTCATCTGCGCCCGCAGCATCCATCCTCCTAGTCCTCCCTGTCGTTTTCCTCCTTCATCCCGAACTGGGCGCACAGCGGGGCTCGGGGCAGGGGCCTGCCGAAGGGAGAGGGATAACGAGCTGTTCCCSGTCTGCTCACGTCTCCATAGCAACAATCGCGGGGAAAGTTCCGTCTTTTCCCTTGGGATTTGACTATCCGGGCCGTGCCTTTGCYGGCAGCCACGTGCCCACGGGGAGTCCTGCGTGTGGGATGCCAGAGAGGAATGCCGGGGGTGGGATGCCAGGGGATTCTCCGAACCCAATCCCAGGGTCTGGGTGTGCAAAACCGTGTGAAAACTGCTGTGCAAAATGGGGTGAGACAGGGAACTCCCGACGGGAGCATCCCGTGCGCTCCCCGCGGCGATGGGGTTCAGCCCGGTCCTTGTGGGCATCCGGTGCGAGAAAACTAAAAGGCGAACGGGAGGTGGCGCCGGTCGGGTCCCGCCGAGGTCTGCRTCAGGACGTCTGGCGGGAGCCGCCGGGGTGGAACCGGGCCGAGGCAAAGCGGGACCGCGGCCCCGGCCCCGCAGCACCGCACCCCGCCCCGCCCCCGCCACGTGCCCTGCCTCGCCCCCGCCCCGCCCCCCCTTGTCCGCACCGGGGCGGGGCAAGCCGCGCGGAGTGACAGCGCGCGTGGCCAATGGGCCGGCGAGAAGCAGCGGGGTGGGCGGAGTCGCCGCGAAGTGACAGCGCTGATGACCAATGGAGAGGCGCTACGGAGATGATGGGCGGAGCCACCGCGGAGTGACAGCGCACGTGGCCAATGATCAGGCGGGAMGCGGCGGGGCGGGGCGAGGCCGCGGCGGGACCAGTGGCCGTGGCGGCCCCACCCCCTTGGGGCGCGGGGCGTGGCGGCCCCGCCTGGCGCGGAGGGAGCGACCAGCGCGGCCCGAGCGGCACCGGTACCGGGTGAGCGGTGGTGTGAGGCCCTTCCCGTTCTCTCCCGTTCCCTCTGCAACCCTTCCCTTCCGCTCTCTCCCCTTCGGGTCCCGGGRCGCCCGCAGAGCGGGCTCTGCCCTGCCCAACCCTGTGTGGCCCGGCCCTGCCCCGTCTCCTCCYGGTGCGGAGCCGCCCCTCCCCGCCGCCCCCTCCCGCCCAGCCGAGGGTCTTCCTGGGCGCGCCCCGCGCCCCCTACRTGGTGGATTCCCACGGCGACGCCCCTCCCGGGCTCGAGGTTTCCATGGCGACGGCGGCCGCCGCCCGCCGCCCCGGTGCCGCCCCGCTGCCGCCGCCCCAGTGCTGACCGAGTGCTCTCCCCGTTCCTTCTCCCGCAGCCGCCGGCCCAGCCCAGCGTAGCGCAGCCCCGCGGGGCCCCGATGATGCCGGGCGCGCGGGCGGCGAAGGAGCAGCAGGAGCGCCCGAACGTGCGGCGGCCGCTGCCGCCCCAGTGACGGCCCCGCCATGTCGGTGATGGTGGCGAGGAAGAAGGTGGTTCGGAAATGGGAGAAGCTGCCAGGCAGGAACACCTTCTGCTGCGACGGCCGCATCATGATGGCCCGGCAGAAGGGCATCTTCTACCTGACACTCTTCCTTATCCTCGGCACCTGTGCCCTCTTCTTCGCCTTCGAGTGAGTTCCTTGGGGACCCCGCGGGACGGGGGTGGGGAGGGGCCTCGGGAGAGGGAAGGGAGGCTGGTACGGTGCAGCCTGGCCGAGTGTGGCTCTCCCTGTCCAACATCTGCCTCTTCACTCTCATGAGATTGAGCCTGGTGCTTTTGAGGAGGATGGGCCCTGCCGGAGCCGGGGGTGACACTGGCCCTGCATCCCCGTGGGTCATGCTTCCCTTGTTGGAACCCTGCTGGGTGACACTAGCCCTTCCTTCCCCACGGGTCACCTTCTCTCTGGGACTTGGCATTCCCTTGTCCCAAATGTTCCTGGCTCTGGGATGGCCAGGGTGCAAGGGCACTGCTGCTGCAGCACTGGAGCCCAGGCTATGTCCCTACCCATGGAGCAGTGTGCAGCCCCTGTTTCAGCCTCACCAGGGAGGTTACCCCAACTGGAGGATTAATAAGGAGTGAGCCTGGGGCTTCTGCCAGTCTGACCTGCCCCCAGCCCACAGGCTGCACTGCAGAAGAGTACCCCCCAACTGGAGCCCCTCACGGGAAGGGTCCCGCCACCTCTTAGATCAGCTCGACAGCATAAAGATCTTCAGCCAAAACCTTTGATCCTGCTGAAAACAATGATCTGCTCCCTCCCCTCAGCTCTCCCTGGGAGCTGAGCTGGAGAGTTAGGCTGACCTTACACTAATCCTAAAATCAAAAAAAAACAAGCAAAAAGGGAAAAGCCTGTTTGTCTGGGCCAATGCTGTGGGAGAGGGCAGGACTCCCCTGTTGCCTGGTTTGAGGATGAGCTTTGATCAGCTAAACAACGCAAAACTTCCCTTCCTCGGTCTCCATGGGCATGTTTGTGTTCTGGAGCAGGAGAAGGGCTGAAACAGGGTTGAGTAACACAAAAGCATGCTAAGCCAGGAAGAACGAGTGGAAGGAGCTGCTTGTTGGCTAAGCCCTGGCTGTTCYTGCAGATCCATAAAGCCCTCGGCCCAGATGCTGTTTCCACAGCATGTTTCCCAGGCCAGGGAACTTGTTTCTACATTCCCTGGCCCAGCGCAGMGTGGCTCTCCCAAATTGTCTGTGGCTCAGACTGTGAATTCTGAGGTACCAAGTGCACCGCTCTTGGTTTGATGTTTGGGGTTTTTTTCATCTGAAAAATGGGGCTGAGCCTTCCTGCCTTACAGTAAGAACTAATAATTGTTGCTGTTCCAGAAATGCTTATTGCTGCTCCAGAAACACTGATTTGAGGGATAATTGCTCTGGTTCCCTGTGGATCCTGTCTGTAGCAAGAGAGCGAACCACATCCCGCTCTGCTGTGGTTGTGCTAGGCAAAGTGAGCCAAGGCTGTTTTCCAGTCCTAGGCTATGGTTAGTCAGGGATGTGACTGGGAATTCCTTGAGGAGTCCCTTTCCATGCTCTGGCAGGCAGAGGCCTGTGGAGGGGTCGTTTGCACCAAGGCAATCAGGCCATGCCTAGAGCTGGAGGATGGGCTCTTTGGGGGAAGTGCTGCTGGGAAGAGGATCACCTCTGAATTTTAATTAACTCATCTGAGGGAGATAAGGAAAAGTTGGGAAAACCCAAATTCCCATTTGATTTTCAGTGCAGAACACCTTTGTGTTTTTTGTTTGGAAGAGAGGGGATTGTTTTGAACTTGTTCGGGGATTTTTGAATTTGGGATAGGGATGAAATGTTGTCTTCCCAGCTGGAAACACTCCCCAAGGCTTCTATTTCATTGATCAGGTTGAGATAAGCAGCTTGGCTGCTTGGGATCCCTGCCTGCCCGGTATGCGTAAGGAGTTTTGCGTGAGGATCTCAGCCTTGATTTTTCACCRTGTTGATCATTTGTCTCAGTATTTGGCAGATTCTTTAGTGTTTGCATGGAAATTCCTAGTTTCCCCCTTGAAGTTCGTGTCTGGATTTGGAGCGCGGCAGCCGGTGGTGGGCGGAGAGCCCTTTCCCTCGCTGCCCGCTCACTGCAGGCTGCCTGTGCCGTGGTGCCTGCTCCATTCAGCTGAATCACTTGCGCAGTCACACCTTGTCTGAGCACAGCTCCGGGGTGCCTGGAGCCAGGATCTGTCTGGCTGCTCGCCCTGCGCCGGGCTGGGCTTGATCTCGGTGCTCCGGGCTGCGCTGGCTCCAGTTACAGCCGAGGCCGGTGGGGACTTTCACCTGCGTCAGGAGAAATGCACCGTTCCTCGGCGGCAGGATCCTCCCCAGCCCTGGAGCGATGGCCGCACTCGTGGGGCTGCTGCTGCTGCTGCTGCTGGTGCTGGTGTTTTTTTCCTCCGAATATCTCCAGTGTTGTCGGCTGCTCTGTGGTGTCCACAGGCAAGCGGGCTGAGCCACTTCATCCCTGTGTGTGGGAAATTCTGTGTTTTGATCCTTCAAACTGCAGCGCCGTGGTCTGGGATCAGGCAAATGTCTCCATCCAGGAGCAAACAGGACCCAGAGGCTGGCAGAACTCATTGCTGTGATCCAACTCCTCCCTCTTAGATAAGGCAGAGGGACAGAGCTCTGCTGGCTCCCGGGAAGGGCTCTGCAGCAACCAAAGTCCTCTGCCCAAGGGCACCTCTCACACCTACATCGGCAGGGAGCAGCTCCCACTGCTTGGGACTGTACCCTGTGCAATCTGAGACCTGTGTTTAACTGGGTCTGCCCCGTAATGCATCCCGTAAAATTCAGTTTCACATCCTCTTGGTGTTGTTTCAGACTCCTAATGGTGTGTCAGCCCTGTGGTGGGGCACTTAGCTGTTAARTCTGCTCGAGGTGTTCCAGCATGAGGAGAAAACCAGATAAACCACTTGAGAAATGCCTTTAGGAACTGGGATGATGGGATGTGGTGTCTGCTCTCTGGGAATCCCCTTTGCAGTTCCTGTCTCTCCTGAAGTGAGTTCCACGTTCAGCCGAAGGGAATGGGATTTCTTTTGTCTCTGGCTTTTCAGCATAAAACTTGACGTCTRTAAACATCAGAGGCACAAAAGCACCAGCAA